TGCCCCACCAGTTGGCTCTGTCATGGTGCCGGAGACCAAACCCAGGTCCTCAAGCTTGGTGGAGCAGGCACTGTATCAACTGTGCCATCTTCCAAGCTCCCAAGTGTCACATTTTCTAATGCTTAGCTTTTGGGATTGGGAGGGCGGGGGCAGGGAAGCTAGTTCACTGAGCAAAACTTTCCAGTTCTAGGGAGTGTGGGTTACACATGCATATTGATTCTTTATACCCGGATAGACGGGGCACAGCCTGGCCCTGCCATAGACCATGACCAGTTATGGAAGCAGACACACAGTTACCTGAAGTGTCCTAAGAGCCTCAGAGGCATTGCCTAAGAACATTCTCTTCCCGAGCACTGAGGGGGAGAATTGGGCATGAGCTCTCATCCTAACCAAGAAGCTATCTCCAACTGACAGTCACTTGCAAAGGAAAAATTTCTTTTTTCCAACAGAGTTTCACTGGAAATACAAACCGCTCTTAGGGATGGCCAGCATGAAATGAATCAATGGCATTTTTGTGATTTTTGTTTGTTTTTGTCTTATATTGCTTTGGGCTTTTTTTATTTTTTATTTTACTGGTGCTTGTATGTTATGGTTTCCGATTTTGTGTTTTATGGTTTTTTTCTTTTTTGTCTTTTACCGTGTGTATCTGTATGTGTTGTTTGTGTGTGTGTGTATGTATGTATATTTTTAATTTTTATTTTTTATTCTGGTTTGGTTGTTTTCAAGAGAGAGAGAAGGGGTTGTGGGGAGGTAAGGAGGCTCCAAGAGGAGATGGGGAAGGAAAACTGTGATCAGAATTGTAGCAAGAATTTTTCAACTGAAAAAAAATTTTTTTTTCCTCTTCCAAATCAGTGTTGATTCTCTTTTCTGGCGTAGATTAAGACTTAAATTGAGGCCAGCAATTGATGGCTCAGTGGGTAAAGGCACCCTCTGGCAAGCCTCACAGCCTAAGCTCAATCCCCAGGTGCTGTGTCATGGAAGGAGAGAACCAATCCCTTAAATTCTCCTCTGACCTCCACTCGAGCATGCCCATATGCATGTATAAACCCATAATAAAAAACAAATGTAATGGAAACTTTATTAGTTTTTTAAAAGGGACTTTAATTGAAATGGTGACAAGTCCGCCCATCACCTGGGTTGCTGAAACATGGGCACTCCTTTCCATGGAGGACACTTTTCCTCCACTTAGGCTGGATACATCTCTGTAAAGCTTTCAGGTTTCTTTATAAAGGCATGCATTTCTTATTAGATTTGTTCCCATGGTGAATCTTAAAATAATGCTTGATTGCTACTGCGACCCTTTTTTTAAAGAGCAATACAGAGAGCTCCGTACTTCCCAGCCTTCTCTGTGCCTCAGAAATTTATCCTAAGTGGCAGAAAGGTCTCTCCATTGCCTCCTGCCTATTTTAACTTGGCCTTGGAAGGCTTCCCCAGCTGTTCTGGCTTGCTTCATTACTATTATTTTGATTCTGTTATGAGAAATGTCAGCTCCTCATGTAGCCCAGGCTGGCCATGACCCTCCTTACTGGAGCCTCCGAGCACTGCCCTGCCAGGGCACCGCTTCACACCCGTGCTCTTGTTCTAAGAACTGCCACCATGAACTCACAGACCTGCTCTGCTTTCCGTTACTGTGGGGCCTGCTTCCCTCCCGACCTTCCCTTTCTTTTTTTCAGGTTCACTGCTATGACAGCCTCACACCTTTTATTACGGCATTGTGCTGCTTCTCATCCTCTCTCTCTGTCTCTGTCTTGAGGCAGGGTTTCTCTATGTAGCTCTCACTGTTCTAGAACTCACTCTGTAGACCAGGCTAGCCTTGAACTCAAAGATCCCCCTGCCCCTGCCTCCCAAGTGCTGGGATTAAAGGCGTAGCCCACCATCCCCTGTGGCATTGTACTTCTGAACAACTGGAACTGAGGAGAATAGTGACATTTTTAAATGGGGCCTTTAAATTAATACAGCTTGGCTGTCCCTTATCTAAATGCTCTGGACTCGGAGTATTTTGGATTTTGAGACCCGGGATTCTCAACCAGTGAAAACGCTTGCTGTATTTTATCCTGTCCCGGCCTACAAAGAACAGTTAGCTGCTAAGATGTGAGTGTGTTTGGCTCCTTCCCGTTGGCTGTGCTTTCCTTGATTATTCTGATCAAGGAAACAATCGCAAAGGATGCTCCACAGCAGTTACTCGGTGAGGTCTTTATTCCGCTGCGTTGGATTCTGATTGCAGACTGAGGACTGGAAGCCTGAGGGTTCGGCATGATTACCTCCCGACCTCTTCCAGGCGTTTCTCTGCAGTGCTCTCTGTAGCAGTTCTCAGAAACACTGTCTGCTTGTGTCTTTCCTGTGCTGTTTGGGAGCCACTGAGCTGCAGGGCCCCTGCAGGCTTCTTAGTGACGCCCGAGGCTGGCTGTGGCCCTCCCACACACCCCTGTGCCTTACTCTCCCAAACGCTTCCTTCAGTGAGGACCTGACTTGGACATTGCCTCTTAAAGAGATACTTTGATTATTCCAGTAGAGATTTATTTTCTCTCTGCTCTCCCCCTGGGCTTCATTCTTCTGTGTTCATTCATTTGTTCATTCATTCATCCATTTCATCAGGATCAGACTGGAGATACACACACACACACACACACACACATACACACACACACTCCCTCCCTGCCCTTCTGAGAGAGTGTGCTGTGTAATCCAGAGGATCCACGTTCAGGGTCCTACATCCCTGTGATAAGCCATCCGTGGAATCATGTGCATGCGTGTAATCAGAGTTCGAGGTGTATGGGGCAGGAGAATGGTTTGATATTAGGACTAGCTGAGAGAATATGAGCCCAGGTTTGGGTAGAGAACCTGCCTCAAAGGAATTTGAGAATAGTGATAGAGGAGGATATCCGATGCCCTCTTCTGGCCTCTATGCATAATGTGCGTACCCCCACACACACACACTCACTCACATGCTCATACATACACATACACACACTCATGCTCATACATACACACACACACACTCTCTCACACATGCTCATACACACACACACACTCATATGCTCATACACACACACACTCATACACATTCAATGCACAGACACACACAGAGACACACATACTCATATACACATTCACAAACACACACAATCACACACACACACAGACGCAGACACAAACACACCATCTTTAAGAACAAAACAAGCAAACAAAAGAAAGCCAACGGGCGTGAAATCCGAGCCTGGTGGGGTTCCTTAGATGGCCAGAGAGACCCGATCTGGAGAAGGGGTGTTCACTGGGTTGTGAATAGCCAGCCTGCCCAGCCACTGAGGAGGGGCTCTTGAAGCACTCTCAGTGCTCAGGAAGTAGCCCCTAGCTGTTCCCCTAAATGGAAGAGGACAACCCAAAGTCCCCGTGTCTGGATCAGGCAGATTGCAGAGTGGAGCAGGAGACAGGATTAGGAATGGTAGGGTCTGGGGCCCATAGCCTCTGGGTGTGAGAGTGGGACTGTTTTTCCTGAGTGCAGCGGGAAACTGACGGAGGGGGAGTCTTAGACAGGGGAGTCGCCACTAGTGCTTTATGATTAAGCTGTACTTGCTTGCTCATTTGCACTTGTCTCTTACGAGTACAGTTGTTCTCCAAATCCCCAGGACCTAGTGCCTGTCTGGGGAGTTAGCACATGGACAGGGCTTTCTTCCCATGTGCTCTCTGCAAGTTGATAGCTCGTTAAATAACGCTTTCTGTTTAATAAACCTGCTCATTCTGCTGCTGGGAGACCGTGCCGAGAAGGAAGTGTCCACAGGCATTTTTGAAAGTGCAGGGTAGTATACTCTAAATGTTGTTTGCAGCTTTTTGAAGCCGACCACAGAAATGCAGAGTTGAATCTGGAAGAGAATGAAAGGCTGTGACATTCAGAAAGTGAAAGCTCTCAGTAGCCAGCAGGACCTTCTGATGAGATTATATCCAGCACAGCCACAATGGCCTTTGTTTTAAAAGAAGTCAGACCAAAGTGCTTATCCTGGGGGGTGAGGGGGGAGCAGGGCTGGGTAAAAGGCCACTACCTCTTGATGACCCAAATGTGATTGTGTGTGTGTGAGAGAGATCGAAAGAGGAGGGTGGGGTGAGGAGGTCTCGTGTAGCCTAGGCTAGCTACATCAACTAGATGGTGAAAGGTGGCCGGAAACTCCTGGTCCTTCGGCTTCCCCCTCCCTAGTGTGAAGATTATAAGCGTTCATCGCTGCAGCCAGTATATACAATAAGAGATGGAACCCAGGGTGTCGGGACTATGCTAGTATGGAGCCACCTGAGCGACATCCCTAGACCCTTAGGTTTTTGTTTGTTTGTTTGTTTGTTTTTTAAGCTGGACATAAGGACAGTTGTACACAGTTCTGATTTCAGTATCTTTAACTCTTATGATCTTAGGGCTTTGGAACCCCTGAGATGCCATTTTTAATTAATATAGAAATACCACTTTGGGTTGTATGATTGCCTTTTGGGGACCCGACTTACGGTGTTCAAGTAGGCTTTTGCTGAAGATGGTATTTTTCTAACTTACAAGTATTATTACTACACCTACTTCTATTAAATACTGACTTTTTCCCCTTCTAAATCTATTAGAAACTCTAGTTTGTATCTGTCTGGATCTTCTTAAATTAAATTTTGTTCTCTATTGTTCAAGGGGCAGGGTCTGCTTTTGAACCCATGGTGTAGCTTAGTCTGGCTTTAAACTTTCCATCCTTCTGCCTAAGCCTCCCGAGTGCTGGGATTAGAGGTATGTGCCAACAGGCCTGGCTTACGTCAAGCTGTATTTCCAAACCTCTCACGGTGAAGCCACAGCCCGGTCCTGCAGACATGTTCTAATGGCATAACAGCCCCAGTCTTAAGAAGGCTCTTTTGTGGTTATTGTTTTCCCCACTTTCAGTTGGAAATTACCCTTCAGGTAATAGAGGGCTTTAAATGTGGTGTATTAAATATGTCTGGGCTTTTTTTTTTTTTTAAAGGGTGAAAATATTTTTTCTCTACAGAGACTTCAGCAACACAGAAACGCTGTGTAGCGAACAAAAATATTATTGTGAAACATGTTGCAGCAAACAGGAGGCCCAGAAGAGGTGCGTGAAGGGCTGAGCAGCGAGGGTGGCTCCTGTCAGAAGGGCTGTGTGGGTCTGGCATCTCCGCTTCACAGTGGCCTTCCTCATCCAGAAAACCTGGATACGAATGCTGCCTTGGAGAGCGGTCATTTCTTTCTCCTCATTCTTTTCTTATCATCAGCATGCATCAAGTGTTACTGTGTGCCAGATACTACGCTGGTAAACAGTGGGGACTGAATGTACTCACTGCCCCTCTTAGGATTAGGGACAAAGTGTCTAAGGTACTTATCACAGTATGTAACAGTGGACACAGCTTTGGCCTCCTTGTTTACAGCCAGAGATTTAAAAACAGTGTGTTTCATGAGGAGCTGTAGGTCAAGGACAAGTTGCAAGAATAGGTGATCAGGAAGTTGGGTGGGTACACCAAGAAACCCTGTTTTAAAGAAAGTTACTGTGTTCTGTCATGGCATCCTGTCCAGGCTCCCCGTCTTTTTACCAGCATCTGCCAGTTACAGGTCTGTGCCAGTTGGTTGTTTTCCCATTATCTCATCCCCACAAACCAAGAACCTTGTGAACGCCTCCTTGGGATAAGTTAATCTTGTTGGTTCTAGAGATTTCAAGGTAGCACATGGCTCCTCAGTGGTGCCCTCAAAGGCTGAGGATCCAGACCTGGAGCTGCAGTGATTTTTCTGCCTAGCCTCCCTCACCCTCCCAGCCTACCCGGGTAGACCCGGTATACCGTTCTCCTTGCCTTCAACCTGAGCAGGCCAACCCCTGTAACAGGCAGCAGGTACTCTAGTTAGTGGACATGACTCTGCCTCCCATCATGAGACTCTCACTCCGCCTTGGGCAACCGAGGTCTGCGTGTGTGGCCTGAAGGTCAACCCAGGAGGTTTCGTGTATCAAAATGACATGTGTTCCTGGGGAATGTGGAGGTTTGGGGTAATTATTGTCTTCCTACTAATTTGTTTTTATGAGACAGGGTCTGGCCGTGTAGCCCAGGCTGCTCTAGAACTTGCGCTCTTCTTGTTGGCATCATGCCTGTCTCTATCTACTGATGTTTTTGTTTATTTTTACAAAGAGGCTTTTTTTTTTTTTTTTTTTTTTTTAAACCATAGTAGATTCCTCAGTAAATATTCTCTTAGAATTGGTTCTTGTAAAATGTGTACGGGTCCAGTGGTGTTTGTGCCAATTCGGCACATTCATCAGCGGGGGCAGAGGTAGAGGTTGGGGGAGGACTGTGTGCTCTTCTCCAGCACTGTTACCTACACAAGCTGTTACTGTGTCTCTTTACTCAGGAATGTCAATTAATGGTCAGATAGTAGGGGGAAATGTTAATGTAAGGTGGGGACCAGAGCAATAATTCTAGGGCATCATTTCTCGAAACCTTCAATGCACTATTATATGTGGAGGCTTCAAAATGGGAAGAAGCCTTGTTCAAAGTTGACAAGAGCCCCTGCCTCCCGATTCACTGCTGTTCCCAGGACCCTGGAGTTTAGCTTGGGAACACAGCCCCGAGTTAACCTCTGCACCTGTGGTAGCGGGGACACCCATGTGCCTGAAATGACAAGAGTCAGGAGTGGCTATGAGCCTGGCAGCTTTGCCAGTCTATCGTTTTGCCTGGTCCTTTTCCAAGCTTCCTTCTCTTAATTTCTCAGCCCTCCTGTCCAGGTACAAGGGAGTGGACTGTCCCAAGACACTTCATTTTGCCTATGCTGTGACCCAAATGGAGTTGCATGGTTGTGCTTTTCTCTTACTTGGGCTAGCCAAGGATGCAGGATGCGCCAGTCTTTACACACGAGCACGCCGTTCTGCTTGTGAAAAGTCTGGATACTTGCTGGGTTCCCCCCCACCTCCGGCTCTTGTTTGTGTAGGCAATAGTGTGTTTTCTTCCTCTAACGGGCATTGGATACAATCAGTTTTCTGTTTTATGCTTTCTTAGGATGAGGGTAAAAAAGCTGCCCATGATTTTGGCTCTGCACCTAAAGAGGTTCAAGTACATGGAACAGCTCCACAGGTACACCAAGCTGTCCTACCGGGTGGTCTTTCCTCTGGAGCTCCGGCTCTTCAACACTTCCAGCGATGCCGTGAACCTGGACCGCATGTATGACCTGGTCGCTGTGGTTGTTCACTGTGGAAGGTAAAGGTGGGCTGGGAGGCAAGTTTCTGGGATAAGCATAGGGCTTACTGCCTCATCAGAATAGACCCAGCCATGCCCTTGCTGGATTGTGAGAATTCGTCCGGAAATGGCACTCAGATTCTTATTGATCACCTCAAAATATACAGAAAAGCTTAATGTGGAGATGTACCGGAAAAGATACGTCATGTGGTCATGACCCGGGGGTACTCGGCACAAGCTAAGACGAGGGCGTGTAGTGTTAGGGCACCGCTGACCCATAGACAGCGCCACTGAGAAAAACATGTCAGAATCTGTGCATATGGAATAACATGAGAACATCGGTAATCTCAATGTTCTGTCAGGGGAAGTAATTCCATCTCCTTTGGATAGAAATAATACAGATGATGAGTTCAAAGTGACATGGAGAAATATATGCTTATATATATATGACTGTTTTATATATATTATAAAACATATATCTATTATATATATACATATATATAATATAGATATATATTTGAGACAGTTTTTCTCTGTAGCCTTGGCTGTTCTGGAACTCACTCTGTAGATAATGCTGGCTTTGAACTCACAGAGATCCACCTATTTCTGCCTCCCAAGTGCTGGGATTAAAGATGTGCACCACCACCACCGGCCTTATTCATGTATGTGTTTTTTAAAATGTATTTTTAATCACGTATAGGTGTGTTTCTGCCTGTGGGTACATGCATATTATATAGAAGTGTGATGTGGGTCTGTACATGTGGGTGCAGGTGCCGGCAGAGGCCAAAGGTGGCGGATCCTCTGGAGCTGGAGTTACAGATGTTTGTCAGTCACTTTACGTGGGTGCTGGGAACTGCACTCCGACGCTCTTTACTACTGAGTCATGTCGGCAGCCCCTGATTTTCTTTTTTAAAAAGCTGTGCATAGGTATTGGAAAGATTGCTTAACTGCTCTTCCAGACCTGAGATCAGTTTTTTTTTTTACATTAATTACAGTTTATTCACTTTGTATCCCAGCTGTAGCCCCCTCCTTCATTCCCTCCCAATCCCACCCTCCTTCCCTCTTCTCCTCCCATGCCCGTTTCTAAGTCCACTGAAAGGGGAGGTCCTCCACCCCTTCCATCTGATCCTAGCCTATCAGGTCTCATCAGGACTGGCTGCCATGTCCTCCTCTGTGGCCTGATAAGGCTGCTCTCCCTTCAGAGGGAGGTGATCAAAGAGCCAGCCACTGAGTTCATGTCAGAGACAGTCCCTGTTCCCCTTACTAGGCAACCCACTTGGAGACTGAGCTGCTATGGGCTATATCTGTGCAAGGGTTCTAGGTTATCTCCATGCATGGTCCTTGGTTGGAGTATCAGTCTGGGCCCAGATTTCTTGGTTCTGTTGCTCTCTGAGTTCCTGTCCCCTCTAGGTTTTTCTATGAGATCAGTTTTAATGTCTGTGCCCAGTGGCTCATAACCACCTGTGTAGCTCCTACTTCAGCAGACCTAACATTTTTCCAGCCTTAGCCACGTGTATGTAGACACACATAATTAAAAATAAAACAAATCTTCTAAGAAGCCTTACATATATAATATATGCACATCCATATCTATAAAATTCACAATCAGAAGAGTATTTTAATATGTATGACTCAAACCTGAAAGCAATAGATCACATGTAATAATTTTTTGGCATTTTGGCTGATCAAAAATACATTCTTAAAAATATTTTTTAGGTAACTTTCACCATTTCCCCAATTCCTTTTTAAAAACATAACTTTATTTTTTTTTTTAAAAAAAAGATCATACTATTTAGCACACATACACATCCTTGCATCTCTTGGCATGAAAGTGGATGTCTGAGGCCAGCCCATGGGAGTTGATTTTTCTTCTTCTACCAAGTGTACCCTGGGGAATTGAACTCAGGGCATCATTAGGTTTGGCAGCAAAGGTTTTTACCAGCTGAGCCCCTGGCTGACTCCATTTTCCCACATGCAAGATTTACATGAGACCAAAAAAGGAATACTGTAGATATGAAAAAGCAAAGGTTTTTGCTGAATGCTATTAGCACATTTAAAAAAAAATGCCATATTTGATATAATCGTGGGAAAGTATAATGAAAATTCACCTGCTCCCTATCCATTCTTCATTTGCTTGGGATGGATGAGTAGGTGCTTGTTCTCTCTCGGGACAGGCACGGGATTGCCCCTTGGGTGTCAGTTTTGCCTTGGAGCAAATGTAATGTTGCAAGTGTCTTTTCCTCTCTGCCTGGTTTGGAGACTTTGAATACACATTTATCAAGTCAGTACTGTCACCGTGTCGGGGATGGGCTGCTTAAATTTTCACCTTGCCCTGGGGTAGATGGTATTAGGCCCTGACTTCACGTCTGACACCCCACATTCTGTCCTGAGTATGCCACTCCAGGTTGGGCCGGGTGTTTTCTTTTGTTTGTTTGGTTTTTGTTTTTTTGGCTTTTCCATTAGCCAGGGCTGTCCTGGACTCACTTTGTAGTCCAAGCTGGCCTTGCACTCTCAGAGATCCGCCTGCCTCTGCCTCCCACAGTGCTGGGATTACAGGCATGTGCAGGTGCCCAACACTGGATGTTTTCTTATCAATAGGTTAGAATTCTTTATTGACTGGCTGTGATCCAACTTTGGCTCGACTGAACAGTTCTAAATATCTATAGAACAGAGGGTTCCAGTGATCACAGCATAAACACCTGGGACCCCGCAGTGTGGTAGGGCCGAGGAAATCTAGGGGAACAGAGCCTGGGGATGGGTAGGCATCTTGGATGGGGATGAGGGAGTGGACTAGCAAGGTCCAGGAAGGTTGAGCAAAGAGGAAATAGAAGCATTGATGAGTGAGTGGGGTACATAAATGCTTTCAGTTTGGGTTTCTGTGGGGCCCCAGTTCTATCCTTGGGAAGAGCATTGGGGGCAAGGCAATGACCTATTCATCAGATAAGGGGGACTAGGGAAGGCCAGCCTCTGGAGTCATCAGTTTCTCTGATGGGGGTACAAGGTCTGAGCATCCCTGGCCACAAGGAGCAGTGAGTAGCAATTCTCACTTGTTACTAACTCTAGTCTTTTTTTTTTTTGTTTGTTTGTTTTTGTTTTGTTTTGTTTTTTTAATGTAGGAAGAGACTGGGGTTTGAACTCTTGCTTCCTGGGTTTTGTGCCAGGACCTGAGCCTCTCAACATGTCATAAACACCGAACGTACACACAGCATGAGTCCTGCCCTTACCAAGTTTAGAGTCTGGTGGGAAAGATGGATAAGAAAGGCTACACACTGGCCTGCATCCCCAAGCTTAGCCTCTGCCCAGTGACTTAAGGACGATGAACTGGGCTCAGAGATGTACACAGGAAGAAGAAAGAGAAAGTGATGAGCGATGCTGGCTCAAAGGACAGTGGCCGGTGAAGGGTTGTCTGGGGAGGCTGAGTGGGTGGGATGGACCATGAATACAAACATAGAAGAGGCCCTTGTCAGCCAGTTACAGCAAATGCGGGGGCCACGCACAGGCTGAGTGGTGGTGGAGGGGCTCAGCAGGCTGCAGCTCAGGAGAGGGTAGTGGTGGGGTGGGAGAGCAGGGCCTGAGCGTGTGCAGCATCTTGTGTGTAAAGAAAGTAAAGGGTGCGGAGGTGGCTTAGCGCAGAAAGTGCCTGCCTCACACATGAGCGCCAGAGGTCAGAGCTCTGGAAATGGGGGCAGGGGGGCAGGTGGGTGTGGCGGCCTCCCTGTAATCACTGGGCTTGGGAGCTGGAAACAGGGAGCTCACCAAGCAAGACGGCTAACTAGAATACCCAATGGGCGAGGACGCCGTACCAACCTCTGGCTCGCACCCACATGCGTGGCATGCACTCATGTACTTCTCCCACACATGGTGGGTGATGAGAGGGAAGAATTTTCAGCCTTTCAATTCTGTATGTCTCTTAAACAAGTCTAGATTTAGGATTAAGGTCTCCATTATGTGTAAATCTAATCCAACCGTGTGGTGGTAACTTCCTTGTTGGTCTGCCTAGCATAGTGTATACACCTGTGCGTCCTAGTCGGTGGAGTTATGCATTCTGAAACTCAGATCAGATCCTGCCTCTGCCGAGAATTCCCTGGCATCTTCCTGGTGTGCGCTCAAGGCAGATAGCACTATGCTGTGATGCCGGGAAGGTCTGTCTGTCCCTTTGACCCTCTCGCCCCTTTGTCTTCCCCTGGAGTTTCTTGGCTTTAGATGGTTCTGACTTCTGAGCTGACTGGCATGTCTTTGCTTTCTGCTCTTCTTTCGTCCCCACCCCTGCTTGCAGAGAGCCCCCTTATCGAGCAGCCTTTCCTGGCATCCTGTTTTCTTCTCTCGTGTGTTTATGTGGTTGGATTGTTTCTAGCCTACAAGACCCCCACTGCAGTCACCTCTGTCTCTTTTGTAATGTTACAACAAAGTACCCATCTGAGGAAGTTTAATACAGCATGGGTCATTGGCTCGTAGTTTGTTTTTTTGGGGGGACGGGGGTAAGTACAGCATTCTAGTACTGCATCTAGACTGGGCTTTCTTGCCACATCAAGGCATGGTAGAAAGTGTCGTGTGGGGAAAGTATGCAGAAGAGGGGAAGTGGGGCTGATCTCTATGAGCTGCACTCTCATGTGACAGGAGAACCAAGATCAAGGTATTCCTTCTGAAAATATCCTCAAAACCCCAAACCAAAGCAAAACCCAGAAACAAAAGGCCCATCTCCTAACTCTTTTCAGTAAGAATTAAATGAATAACTCAGAAACTCTGGCATTCAACTCAACCTATAGCATCAAGTCCCAAAAGAAGGGTGAGGCACGTTTATCTTGTTCGCCGTCTTTCTGGCACGTAGTAGGTCTGCTGTAATTGTGTTTTCCCCACTGGGCCTCTGCACTGTGGCTAGCCAGTACCCAGGTACTCTGCCGGAACTGTGGACTTAGACAAAAAATCTAGTCCACGGTTCTTTCAGTTTGGAAACAGCATATCCATACGGTGCACAGGCTAGATTTGACCCTCGGCTTCAGCCTGCGGGGACCTGAGAGCACAGGTCTGTGCCACTGTGCTGGCTGTATGTGACGACATTCGAATTTTCCATTGGTCGTTGGAATGTTAGAAAGAAGTGTGTGTGCACCGGTGACTTTCTCCCCCTCGTTCTCTTCCAGTGGTCCTAACCGTGGCCATTACATCACCATTGTGAAGAGTCACGGCTTCTGGCTGTTGTTTGACGATGACATTGTAGAGGTGAGTGTGCTTGATGACTCTCTCGTGGGCCCAGGGCAGAGAAGGGATTTGGGCTGGGGTGACTGTTGCAAACGTTACCTAAATAGACCTGCTTTCCCGTAGTATGGAAATATTTAGATCACATCTATGTACTTCGTGCATTAATTTTCTTGTAAAGGAATATTATAAATTCTACCCTCAAAGGTGGAATCTGCTTTAACCCACTAGGGTAGCTGTTTGAATACAGTAGACACTAACAGAAATAAGCTCTGGTGAACTGAAAGAACTGAGCAGCCTCTTGGATTACTATCTGAAAGACAGACTTCCTAAGTTTTTCAGAGGGCACTAATGGTTACCGTGCGATGGAAGGGTGTTTTGTTTTGTTTTGTCTTGTTTTGTTTTTTCTTCCCCCAGCAGTTTGCATTTGTCAAATGTATCAAATGAATCATTTACCAATAAAGGCTCTTAATTGCATTTTTATACCAACTAGTGTTTCTTACCTTTTAGATTTTGTTTTCCCAGGAATCACTGTAAATGATTACATTATTTTATTTTCTTTTTCTTCATTGCAGAAAATAGATGCTCAAGCTATTGAAGAATTCTATGGTCTGACGTCAGATATATCAAAAAATTCAGAATCTGGATATATTTTATTCTATCAATCAAGAGAGTAACCTAGTGGAGCGTGGGACTAGTTCAAGCGGGGAAATCCTCAAAGCACTCTAGCCTTGTTTCTCTTCAGACCTTCCTCTCCCCCAGCGGCCCGCTGATGTTATCACTCTGATGCCCACTGCTCTGGCAGTGTTAAACTTTCTTCCTTTGTGTTTTCACACGCAGCACTACTCCTGGTTCTGTTTCGGTCTGAAGTAGAGTTAACTGCAGTTGGATTATAGTCAGATGTATATGAATAACTGTTGCTAATTTTAAGATTGGGGTGAATGTTATGCCGCTCGTCATGTCTGGCTAAACTATAGTGACATTTCTTGGAAACGTCACGGTCCATTTTGAGTGTTTGGTAGACTTCCTGAATGGTTTCCAGGGTGCCGTTTCCATGCATTCCTTTGACACCGCCCTGGAAACGTTGCTCCCCGTTGTTAGCTTGCCTGCCTCCTCCTCTGACGGGAGGGGTGGGTACATAGATGTTCATCCGTTAGGGCTGCAACCATAGCTTTAAGTTTGTGCAAGTGAAAATGTTTAAAGGTGAATGACCTTGATGCTGAAATCGTCCTCCACATTGGAATAGGGTGAAGAGAGGCTGTCAATGGTGGCTGGTGTTTGCACTCAACTGTGCTTACCTAGCTGGTAGAATCCCAGGGGCTAAGACATTATGGAGCTCAGGGCAGGCAAAACCAAGAGGAAGATGTTTTTATGGATAGTGAAAAGTTAATTTGTCTTTCTACCAAAAGCCAAGTTTCAGGAAACTAATGCAATGCTGTTCATTTCTGGTGACCGTTTTCTTTCATCAGGTCCTGTAGTTGTATTCTTCTCATATTTTTGGCACTGCTAAGCTTTTCAAGCTGTCTTTCCAATCCTGCTGATGTTTTGCCATCAGTGGCATAAGGGCTGAGACACTAGTTGACTGCCTCTGGTACATCTCTCTCTAGCCAGTCAACACCAACATCCTTCTTGGACGAGAAAGATGAATCAAAAACTCTGTTCACCTTGACAACCATCAGCAGATTGTACAGTTTCTTTTTTTAAACATATTCCTTCTGTTTATGGAGGCGCTGGTGAGTCCCGGGGCTAAAACAAAACTGTCCCTGAAAGGAATACTGGAGTTAATGGAGTGTAAGGTGGGTCACAGGAAGTGTTAGGAGGTGGGTGGAAGGGTGAACAAGATGGCAGCTGTTTCTCTGGCTCAGATTCCTAGAATGCTCGACAAGACATTTTCCCGGAAGAACCTCATCTCTTTTCCCTTTTGTTTTGTGTGTATTTATTAGAGCATTTGCATATTGGTACCTTTTATTAAAAGGATTGATTTGGTGTTTTACTGTTGGGTTGATTTTGGTTTTCCTACAAATACTTTGAGTCATAGATCTTGGCTTCCTTTGGGACATCAGTTGACTTCCATATACTATACTATACTGTGAACGTGTTACGTTGTGGCCTAATGCATCAGCAAATGAACATGCAGACTCTTGGCGTAATGTGAACTAAAACTGCAGTTGAAAATGTCAGTGGCCATTTTGCAACAATGAAGAGGATAGCACTTTATCTAGGTGAAAACTGGACTTTTTATTTTCGAACTATTTTGAACTGTTTGTGACCCAGAACTAAGCATGCTGACACTTCATTTGTTCATGCTTGAAGGGAGATGCTTCATTCACTCTTCACTGGAGAAGACGAAACAGGGTTATTTCATGTTATTGTCTTATGCAAGTGATGAAAATGGACCTTGCCTTGGTTAGAGGCAATGCATATTTATAAATATTTTGTCTTTTTTTTCCTCCATGAAGCATATTTATTAATCACTTCTCTTGGAGGTGAACCTTCATTCTTTAAGGAAAGGCCCTATCCAAATGAAAGTGATTGATAGAGGGAAATATTTGTACACATACAGCCCATATATTTGACTGTGAGTTACAAAGGTTAAGAAAATGGTTACTGATTTCTAATATATTTGGAACTGATCATAGAACAAAAACTATTAAAATTATCTTTGAAACAACTCTTGAAGTTAATTTATTAGACAAAAATGTTTCAATTGGAAGCCCAAATGCTGTTATAAAGTTCAGCACATTTTTCTTTTCTTTTCTTTCTCTATCTTTTTCTCTTTTTTTTTTTTTTTGTGATAATGTAAAGTTTCCCCAATAATATAACCAAAGTCACTGCTTTTAATAGAGAAAGTAAGTTAAAATTCAGTATTCATGAAAAGGTCTTTGGAACAGAAAGAGATAAGCGTGGAGATTATGATACTGACTTTCAGTTGGTTGTATGGTACAGGGAAGGAAGTTGGAGAAGACCAAACATGAATCTCCATCAACACTCCATCCTTTTTCAAATGCTGGACTCTCTGGTAACTACTTACCTCTTTTTCAGTAAAGAAAACACGAGGCAGCTCTGTTCCACCCCCATCATTTTTCTTTTCATAGAGAAATCATGTTCTAACTTGCCGTCCCTTGTTCCTAGCGTAAAGCAGGGAATGACAGTGGCGGTGAAGACCAATCTAAGGTCACAGTGATAGCACAGAGACCCAGCAGCAGGCCCCCACATGGGGGCTTGTGCGTCCTTTCTCCAGCAGGAGCGGGTAAGCCTGCTGCATTTCTCTTAGTTTCTGTAAAAGCTGGGTAAAAAGAAATTTAAGTGTCTTTCAAAAGACTTTAAAACTTTTTTTTTTACAAAAATGAAATGTTTGTTTTGTTGGTTATTTGCTAGTTTAACATCTAGATTAGGGTACAGTAGGCTAAATCTTTTGTTTCAAAGCAAACTCTAGTAAAATGGTGATGTGTATAGTCCTGTTACATTGATGCATTTTTTTTTTCCATTCCCAGGCATCATCAGGTAGACTGGCTGGAAGAGAGCCAGGAATAATACAGTCAGGGTGTCAGTCTGAATAGGAAGCCATTCCCATGTGGTTTTATGTCCTGGTTATATTCTGGACTTACCATAAAATGGAAAATGACAGAAACAGTCCCTGTACATTTGTCTTCATGGGTACCCTTAATCTCATGGGCATGCCTAACTCGAAAGTCTGTTGTAACTGGCGCTTAAGGCTTATTTTAGATACTGGAGTGTAGCTTTATTATGGATGGATTTTATCTCTTAAACATTTCATTTTGATCAACTTTGTATATTCATGTGTATTAAAATATCGTGCACTAAATGTTTCCCCCTGGTTTGCTGTTCTCTGGTCAAGGCATTTGCCAGTACCGTGTGATTAGCTCATGCTAATGGCATGGGCCAAAGAAAATTATTGCCTATTTTTCTGCCTAATTAAATTTCTGTTTTCTAGTATTACATTAATTTATTCTTGGCTTCTATTTCTGTAACCAAAATAGTTGCTGTATGTGTGTGGCATTCACTTGATTTTGTTGCTTAAAAAAAAAAAAAGCTTGTAGTTTTTATTTTAAATAATCTGCATCTTTGTTTTTTTGATGTGATCAATTCAAGCACTTTAAGTAATACTGTCAATCTTATGACACTTCACTCTAACACTCTACCTCTAGAAGTGTTTGCAAGAAAAATTAATAAAATAGGGATTATCTTCCTCTTAGAGAACCACATCTAAATAATGCTGCACGTGTGCCCTTTAAGTCCTTGGCATCACATTTGAGCCAGTGGTGAGTCACTGTGCAGGGCGTTATTCTGAACTGAATTTTGAAAAATCTGAAGAAGATTCAGCATATTGGACTATGGAAACAGCACAGTCGAGTTGGCAAAATCCATGTCCCGGGGATAATGTACTTCATTCTGTGTAACAGAATCCAGAAAGTGCCATTGGAGAAACACCACATTGAGAAATTCAGTGACGAGAATGGGAGCACCAGCTAGTTAGACTTGACAGTGAATTCCTTGTGTGGGACTTTTCTAGCTATAACATACTATTCCTAAAATAAGAATGTGGCTTCCAGCTCTGAAGCCACTGTACTGGTTTTCAAAAGCAGGAGTGTGCTCGTAGGCCTGGACCTTCTGGCCTGATTCGTGGGGACCCTACCTTCCAAAATCTAAGGTGGACGCTGTCCACTTTGGACCCATGTACATGAATGAATAGGTCCTGCCCTGTTGTCAAGAGCCAAGTCCACTGTCATGGGCTTCTCTTCGCAGCTAGTGACTTCAAGGGGTCTGTGTGTGGACTGGAAATTGTGACTTGACTTGAGTCTATGACTAGGCCTCAGTATCGAAAGACAACCCTACAGGCCAGGAGGAGGGACTGGCAAGTGACTGCAAGTCTCCTTGTTCCTGAATCTTTAGTTGGGTTCATGTGCTTGAATCTGACTGGACCAAGAGGCTGTTGAGAAAGTCCCTGGCTTCCAGGACAACCAAAGGAACAGGAGACCTTCTTGGGAAGAAGATGTTCTTTCCTGGGCTTTGTTTTCTTCCTCTGTCAAATGGACTTCAAGTGTAGGCCTGTCACTGCAAGCCATTCAGAGAATTGTTTCTGGAGAATGACAAGCCACCCTCTTCATCCAATGTTCTTCTGTTTTCATGAACGCTTCAAACTTTAAGAGGGCAGGAGATACAGCTCTGTTGAGAGCACTCGCTGCTCTTGCAGAGGATCCGGGTTTGGTTCCCAGCACCCACATGATGACTTATAACCATCCGTAGCTGTAGTTCTGGGGGATTTAATGCCTACTTTTGAACTCTGTAGGTGCAAGGCCTGCACATGGTACACACACGTTCAGACAGAACACTTGGACACATAGTAAGATCAATCTTAAGCAAGCAAGCAACTGAAATCTTTTATAGAGAATCCCATTTCCATGGCCTCAGCCTTACACGAGTGTGAAAATGCTGAGTTATGCTCCTTGAGGGTAAATTTTTATTTCAGGGATAGTACTCAAAGCGGAGTTACCTTTTCCTAATAATGCCTCAGGTGGAGGGATTCTTAATCTATTATTTAACACGTGTGGAGGCAAAGAAAGATGAAACCGATGGAGTCCCCTTTGTTGTTTCTTGCCTCAGAAAAAAATGTGTGGAGGAAAATTTAAAGTTGTAGAGATTCCACACAAGGGGTGGGCAAGAGCGTTTGGCCAAGGTATTTTGTGCCAATGGCACCAAGCAGGCCTTGGGGCCCACTTTTTCCTCGATGCCTTGAGCATTGCCTTAGTTTTCTTCTTAGCTCCTACTGCTGACAACAGAAAGTGCAAATTCATTATGCTTCGCTAATGGACTGGAGTAGTTTGCTTTTTCATCTCGTGATAGAATCAACTTTCCGGGCTTGGAGAGAAGGCTCGGTGGTTGAGAGTACCGCTTTCACAGAGGACCTGAGGTCGCTTCCCAGCAGCTCACAAATACCTGCACCTCCAGCTCTGGGGGCATCTTACCCACATGTCTGTGCACCCGTGATTAAAAATAGATCTTTTAGAAAGTCATTCTTTTCAAAGTCCGGATGATGGCTTCTGTGGACTCCAGTGTGGATCTTTTCCACACAGCTGGGTTACATCATTACCAAGTCATTCGGCTCTGTCCAGACTTACCAGAATGAAATAGGGCATAGGGGTCCTGATGATCAGGTTTATTGGCTTTCTAACAAGTGTTGGTATTTTTTAGGTGCCCATCTGAAAAAAAAACAGCTCTCTGGAATTTGCACACAAGTGAATGATTAACTTCATTGTAGTGATGAAAGATCAGGGTCGGAACTTACATGAGAATGTAAAGAGAAAAATGCCTGATTTTATGTTCATTTCTCACATGGCTGTATTTGTTAACATTATTCTAACACAGATTTTTTTTTTTTTTAACCTTTCATCTCTTGAGTAAGCATGAGGGTTTGTGTGAAGCAGAAAGGCAGGCAGGTGTCATAGGCTGTGGTCCTATTTTGTTTCATGTCCTTGTGACAGTGGGGATTTGGAGATTAAAATGGAAGTTTGGATCTGGCTTGGTTGGAAGCAAAATAACTCCACTGAAATCACCATTTCTATATATTCAGCCAAGTCCTCCCTGTGTGAGCCAACTCGAATGCATTCACATTCCAGAGCTACCTTAATGGACCTTGCCAGAGAGAATTCATGTCCTACTAAAAATAACTACCAGAAGAATCAGGGAGTGAGCTTGAGACATACAGAAATCTAGGTGTATGTATATTAGAGTGTTTTCTCCAGGTAGAGAATTGCAGCCAGGTGAGGTGGCACATGCCTTTAATCCCAGCACTCAGGGAGGCAGAGGTAGGTGGGTTGATGTGAGTTCAAGGTCTGCACAGAGAAACGGTCTTAAAAAAAAAAAAAACTGCTTGTTCTCATTCTCTGTTTCTGTCTCTTTGGCTGTGTGTGTGTATGTACATATGCCAGGGGTCAGCCCTGCATGTTGTGGCTCAGGAGTGGGACCCCTTGCTTTTTGAGACAAGGTCTTTTACTGGGAGTGAGGCTAGGCTGACCGGCCAGTGGGTTCCTGAGATTTGCCAGTCTCTGCCTCCCCAGTACTGGGATCTCGGTTGTGTGCTACTGCATCTGGCCTTTCTGGGGTTCTGGGGGAATTAAACTCCAGGTTCTCATCCTCTCCCAGCCCTGGGAGACAACACCACCATAAGCTGTCAGCCTGGGTGTGACGTCTGTGCCAGGTTGTATATAGAAGACTTTGTCTTTCGAGGTTGTGGACAGATCATCTCTCGGGATGTTTACTCAACATCCGAGGCTCTAGCTGATATACCATCTGAGGAGCCTATGGTGGCTGGTGAAGTAGGAACGTTCTGGAGAGCCTGTCCTTGGGTGAGGGCCTGTGTAGGATGCAGGAAGTTTGGGGGAAGATTTGGGGAACAAAGTTAAGTCTCATTGCTTGGCATCTGGTCTTGGGGTACCCTGCCCACAATTTGGGTCTGGTGCCCGCTCCTTTAAGGGACTAGGATTAAACTCAGGTCTTATGCGTCACAGGCAGTTACTGTACTACTGAGCAACCCTCTACCCCTTTCCTAAAGCGTCAAATGACACCCAGGGCACAGATGCTTAAGGGAATGAAACACAATTGTAAAGTAATAAAACCATGTAATAGCTAGTTGTTCAAAGAAGTCAGGCCCCAAAGACTTCTGTACACACACATGTATACACACACATGCTCTTCAGCGTGAAAAAGCAGCAGTTCTCTGCGCAAAGATGAACTCTAGCATGCAGAGACCTTTATTACAGCAACTGAGCGTAAAGCCAACACTAAAGTGAGGCAAGAAAGGGAAGATGCCTGCCGACAGCCAGGAGCTAGCCTGAGAAAGTTTCACCTTGGATGCTGACAGGAGCGAGCCTGCTGCTCAGAGCTAGGCCAGGGAGTCTTCTTGCCTGCCACAAGCAATCTCACAGAACAGCAGCCTTAGACAAGGTCATGCTGTGACCATGATGAACTAAGACAAGAAACGTGTGTACTTCATAATCTGCTCTAGACACAGGTGAGGACAAGGTCACGGTGTAAATGGTAAAAATGCTAACATCGCTCTCCTGATCTGAGCAAGGAGGTACTGATTTACCAGTTCCCACCATACCTCCTTTTGCGTCTGACCCAGATAAGAGTAGCAGGATTTACAAAAAGCCATCCCCACTTCCTGATGGTACCCAGTCCTGAAGAGCCACTGTTGCCCTCCTCCATGGTCCCAGCCGGAGCTCAGGTTCTAGCTCTAAAACTCCTTTAGGAGATGGCCAGGGTTCTGCAGGACAGTGAGTGCTGGACTCAGCTCAGCTTCGTAATTGTGTGTGTAGTCTGGCTGGAGGGTTATGACAGGAATGTCCCAGAAAGAGAGGGTAAGCCACTTCCTGTGCTTTGCTGGTGTCAGCTGGAAGGAAAAGAAAGGACTGCAGAATATACCACAAGTACAGCCATTCTTCTCTGAGGGGTTGGTTGTATTGGTCCAGACATCAAGACTTCCAGCTTTGAGTAAGTAATGACTTTAGTCTTCCCCACCCTGTAGCAAGAGGATCAACAGAGCAGAGCTTTGATGGATAGAAGCCTTTGGGAAGCGCAATGTCATGAGTCTCCACACTGGCTCTGGGAGTCCTGTGATTCAGCTGCGTCTGTCTCCAGAACCTTTGAATTTGCTGAGGCATCAGAATCCCCACTGAACCCTGAAGCAGGGACTTGAGAGCCTTCCCCGTGGGAGGCTGGAAGGCTATTTCAGGAAGCCCATTCGGCCTCAATAGAAATGGCCCCAGTCTCTCTGGATCTTACTATGTACACTCAAAAGCTTTCTATAACCCTAAACTTGGACTTGAACCACATACAAGTCCTATGTGTAGAGGTGACCCAGGACACAACCATAGGGTCTGGTGCCCTCTAGTGCGAACAGCCTGAAACACCCCCAAGCTTTCTCAGAGCTGTCAAACAGGTGC